TCCTATCCAGGGTGTCTTTCTCCTTGTGCCCTGTGAGGGACTGGCATCCTATCCAGGGTGTCTTTCTCCTTGTGCCCTGTGAGGGACTGGCATCCCGTCCAGGGTGTCCCTCTCCTCGTGCCCTGTGAGGGACTGGCATCCTATCCAGGGTATCCCTTGCCTTGTGCCCAGTGAGGGACTGGCATCCTATCCAGGGTGTCCCTTGCCTTGTGCCCAGTGAGGGACTGGCATCCCGTCCAGGGTGTCCCTCTCCTCGTGCCCTGTGAGGGACTGGCATCCCGTCCAGGGTGTCCCTCTCCTCGTGCCCTGTGAGGGACTGGCATCCTATAGAGGGTGGCCCTTGCCTCGTGTACTGGGAGAAGCTTCAGACTTATCACACCCTAAGGGAGGATAAGTGGTTGGAAGATGGATGACATTTGTAAAACTTTCCATACTGACCAGTATCCATTTCCTTCCCAGAACTCATCCTATCAGGGGACCTTCTTTTAGGTTTTATGCCTTACTGCTTCTTAAAGATATTCAACTCAGAATTTCCTCCTGCTCTTCAAGAAAGGACTCAGACTTTTTCAACTGTACTTTGGTTTGGAAGTTCTCAAACTCGTCAAAGGCAGGTGGACCCTCTCTTTGAAAGATAAAAAATGAAAATCATCTTCAGAGGGATACCTTTTATATCAACTACTCTGCTGCTTTGTGACTGAATATCTTTCCATCCATTCAACTTCCTCTTATGGAAACCTAAAGCTTTTACTAGCAAGAACGGAACATTTTAGGGCAATTTGACCTCACACCTCTGGGAGTGTTTGAGTCTCCGCCAGGGTTCTATGTGTGTGGAGTTTGCATGTTCTCCCCATGTCAACGTGGGGTTTCCTCTGGGTACTCCGGTTTCCCCCCACAGTACAAGAACATGCTGGAGTGAATTGTAGTTACTAAACTGCACACAGGTAAGAGTGAATGGTATGTGAGTGAATGGTGTGTGAATGAATGGTACGTGAATGAATGGTGCGTGAGTGAATGGCGCGTGAGTGAATGGCGCGTGAATGAATGGCGCGTGAGTGAATGGTGAGTGTGTGAGTGAATGGTGTGTGAGTGAGTGAATGGTGTGTGCGTGAGTGAATGGTGTCTGTGTGAGTGAATGGTGTGTGCGTGAGTGAATGGTGTGTGCGTGAGTGAATGGTGTCTGTGTGAGTGAATGGTGTCTGTGTGAGTGAATGGTGTCTGTGTGAGTGAATGGTGTGTGAGTGAGTGAATGGTGTCTGTGTGAGTGAATGGTGTCTGTGTGAGTGAATGGTGTCTGTGTGAGTGAATGGTGTCTGTGTGAGTGAATGGTGTGTGCGTGAGTGAATGGTGTGTGAGTGAGTGAATGGTGTGTGCGTGAGTGAATGGTGTGTGCGTGAGTGAATGGTGTGTGCGTGAGTGAATGAAGTCTGTGTGAGTGAATGGTGTCTGTGTGAGTGAATGGTGCGTGAGTGTGAGTGAATGGTGTCTGTGTGAGTGAATGGTGTGTGAGTGAATGGTGTGTGAGTGAATGGTGTCTGTGTGAGTGAATGGTGCGTGAGTGTGAGTGAATGGTGTCTGTGTGAGTGAATGGTGTGTGAGTGAATGGTGCGTGAGTGTGAGTGAATGGTGTCNTGAGTGAATGGTGTCTGTGTGAGTGAATGGTGTGTGAGTGAATGGTGCGTGAGTGTGAGTGAATGGTGTCTGTGTGAGTGAATGGTGTGTGAGTGTGCCATCCTGGGATGTTGCCTGTACCTGGGACATGTTGCCTTGAATAGGATAAGCGGTTACAGACTATGGATGGATGTTTTACTCACATGTATTTGGGGGGAGCACTGGAACTGCACACACGAAAAGGGGCAGCAATGAAACCCACAGCCATGGAGATGATCACTAAGCCAGTAATGTTCAGGTAGAAACTCTGAAAGTCCAATGAATCCACAAGTGACAAGGAAAGGAGTGGAAACCACAAGATTGAACCTGAGAATTACATGGGACACAGTTGCTTTTCTGCTCAGTGCAGACGGCCCGTGGAACAACCTCCAGGGCTGACTCTATTCAGAACCTAATCTCCAGGTTTTTCATCAACAGCCAGGTCCAGCAATCTTTAACTAAGTGGCTTGTTAGTAGCCACAATCAGACCCAGAGCGGCCAATCAGGAGACTAGGGAGAGTTCCTGGTGGGCCGCTTACCTGTGGTAACCCAGTGAGTTTTCTCATGCATGCACACACACACATACACACACATACATGTTGGTGTACCTATCTAAATGGGGACCGTCCATTCATTTCTATGGGGAAAACCCTAATCCCAGTCACGACACCCTTAACCCCTACCCATCCCTAACCATAACCATAAGTAACCAACCCAAATGCAAGACTTTTGGCATTTTTACTTTTTTGATTGCATTCACAGATTTTAATAAAACTGTTATCCAAATGGGGACCTTAAAAGATGTCCCCTAAAGTAGGGAAAATTCAGGTTTTACTACACGTTGGGGACAATTTGGTCCTCAAATGTGATCTATGCAAACACACACACACACATAGTTGTGTAATCATATCTTTGTGGGGACCGCTCATTCATTTCTATGGGTAAAATGCTAATGCTATCTATGACAACCTTAACCCCTACCCAGCCCTAAACATAACCAAGCAAAATACAAGAGTTTTTGCATTTTTAGTTTTTTCATTGCAGTCACAGATTTTTATAAAATAGAGTTTTCCCATGTGTTTACCCAAAAGGTAAAAAAATGGGTGGTCCTTGTGTGTATTGTATACCCCCCCATGTTTTATTTCCATGCAATTTTATTATTCATTGGGCATATTTTGTTAAGAATTCTACAGTGTAAAAAGTCTATTTATATTTTGCGATGTATGTAATAGTATGATCATAACAAAGGGTCACAAAGGCCTTTATAGAATGGTGTGAGTTTTATAGATCATAATCTATACTTATGTTTCATTTTTATATTTGGATTTGACTTTTGTGTTTGTATTTACAGTACTTTTCGACCATGTGAATGGCCTGTTCATATATTTGACTAAAATTCCTTTGCTTAAACAGTTCAATACGCTATTTATTACTTATTTGCCTTCTTGTAATGGTACCAATAAATTCATCAGGATAATAAGACTTAAACTGTGGAATCATCCCCCCAGAATAAGGACAAAAATGGGACGCTTTTGGGTACAAAATGCCCAGGCAGAATGATTCCCACTCTGTGACTGGCCACAATCATTCAGTTAATCCTGCTTAAGTTTTTCATGGGTGTTACAGTTTGTATCACAAAGTGTGACTGAGTAGCGGCACCAGAGAAAGAAACATACAGTAAATTCACAGGCATACATTTATACCAGGTGAGATCAGTTGTGTTCTTGGTATTTGAAAGACTGACACCTTGAGACCTTGGAAAGCAGGTGAGATGTTAAGGTTGAGGTCCTGGAGCGAGCCACCGTCCCACAGCCATGGAGAAGCACGTCTGTAGGCTACACACTGGTGCTGACAGGCCATAACCTCTCTTTCGGCACTGAAGTCTCTGCTTGCGGAATCTGCCAACAATAATGAAAACGAGAAAAGAATTATTCAGTCCCTTTATGGAGAAAAACACAAGATCAATTTGAAGGGAAATAGAATTTTTAAGAGAGATTTCAACCAGAAAGAGATTTCTTTTGCAAGAATGAGGTTTCACCAACTATATTAAATTTATTTGAAAATAAACATTATTGGATACGGTTATGGTATTCAGTATTCATAATTGATTTGCAAGAAGTTCAGAATACCAATTATTAGCAAGCAAGACTTTTAAGTTAAAGTGGGTGTAAATTTTTCCATCCATATGCAAGTCGAGACACCAACATGCTTATAAGAAACATGGACAACACTCAAATGCAAAAAAACAATCTCTCCACAAAATTCCCAGTGCTTTAGGTCTGTTTTCTATGATGTCAGTGTTTCACTCAGTTTGACTCATCACTAGGTTGACTTTTGATCACTTTAAAGGGATTTTTGTGAAATAGAATATGCTGATTGGGGTTGCCATGAAATCCAGGGTCACCTAAAATGTCCTTTGAGGATGCGATGGTCTTTGTGTTCCTCTTAATATTTGTGTCAGTCTAGATTTACGAATCACTCAGCCTCACGGCCCTATGGAAGCGAGTGAAACGAGAGGACGGCCAGTAATGCCCCAAACGTATCACGTTTAATGATAACGCAGAGAGCTGGTACACAAGGTGACATCACTAATCAAGTCTCAAATGATGTCATACAAACAAGCAGACAGTACAGACACCAAAGACGATTGCTTTGCCATTACAGAGTTTATTCAATGATTTTACAACAATATCTCATGTCAGGTGATCACTTTGTCACAGAAATCCATTCCTAATGTTTAACATAATTTAAACAAATCAATAGAGTACCCAACTCCAATCTTAGCATAGCTATATAAATAATAATAAATAATCTTTTGAATAGCTTATTTTTTTGCATCCGTTTTAGCTTCCTTTAGCATACAAAAAATTACACAATAAAGTTGTGCAACTGACCCCAGGCAGACTCACCCAGGAAGCTGTATAAATATACATCTTACATATGGAAGTCTGTGGATCAGTGTATTATGGATTTTGTTTAGCATAAAAATTTATATTTATGGGTTGTGTTGTAAATAAATATATAAATAGGTAATAAATAAAGTAAAAACTGATTTTAAACTTGTAAGACTATGAGAACAAAGCAGCAGGATGTGATGCTCGCATGAGGCTCTAGTGCTTGATCTGATGATTTTTGGCTCCGTTGAATTTTTTTCTGATTGAAAAAACACAGAATATAAATGACAATTATGCTGACTTTGGCAGAGCTTTCTGAAGGGACAATAACCGCTGAGCGGTTTATAGGTGAGAGGCTCCCTGTTAACTCACCTTTCTGTTATGCTTTTGAATGCTCTTGATGAACTATCAGTGAAAATCACTAAAAGCAAGTAATACATTTAGCATCAAGTCCTATCTGCCGTCCAAGCAACGGTGTAGCACGTCAATGAGGACATCAACAAGACAGGCTGCTCAAACAAACACCCAAGACATGGAATTACAGAGGAAGAATGGCGTGACCCCCCCTCAGGCGTGTCCCCTCCCCCCAAGGCAGTGTGACGAGGTCTCTGAATGGGAAGATGCTCTGTTCAGTCGCAGAGGACATCGGCCGGTGACACTCACATGTACAGACTCCAGTCACTCCACGTAGAGTTGCATAGAGCATCCTGGGCCCTGGCACAGACAACGTAGCCTTTTCTGACATTCCACTGGCGATCCTGTATGGTGTTTATCTAAAAAGAAGAGTGACAGGGTGAGCTGGATCTTACCAGTCAGAAGATCCCCCTGGCTCAGGTGCTTGCGGTTACCTTCTCCGTCTGCTGCGATTCACAGCTGCAGTCGCCTCTGCGCGGGAGCTCCATGACCTGAAATGCCAGCGGGAAGTAGGAGTGCGGGATGCTCCAAGTGTCGGGATATTCCAGCTGGATCCGTCTTGTGTCGATCCTGGTGATCCGGACCCTGTCTGGCTTCACTGTTACAGACAAGAGTGTGTAAACAGCCCATGGTGTGTTTTGGTAGGAGTACATGGGAAGAGTGTGTAAACAGCCCATGGTGTGTTTTGGTAGGAGTACATGGGAAGAGTGTGTAAACAGCCCATGGTGTGTTTTGGTAGGAGTACACGGGAAGAGTGTGTAAACAGCCCATGGTGTGTTTTGGTAGGAGTACACGGGAAGAGTGTGTAAACAGCCCATGGTGTGTTTTGGTAGGAGTACACAGGTCCTTCCTAGAAGCAGTGTCTACCATCTTTCTTTACAAATATATATATTTCTTTTATGCCGTCATTCAAAGAAATTCTAATTAAGCTTACTTTTAAACATTATCTAACTTACATGTTGTTTTCAAATATATCATTATGGAGAAACCTTAATTCAATCATTCATTTCTTGAATTGAAGTCTTTGCATGTTTCTCCAAAACTTCCACCTGATGAGGACAAGTGGTTAGGGACCTGCATCCCCAACACGGTAATTGGGACCTGGACCTCACATAGTCTAACTCACACCACAGGGATATTTTTGATTGATTTAAATGACCAAATTATAAGTCATAAGCACCAATGAATAATGCCATAATATATTCAGTCTGATGGTGGTTATACAGAAAACGAAATCCTGTTTTTAGTTGATTGAATGTATGACACAGTGTAAGATTTGGCAAGCAATGTCACATTTTAGCAGACTACTTACCTATTTCATTGATAAAGAAAGTCAAAGAGTATTCTTCGAGACGGTACAAGTATCTGACGCCCACATTCACGAAAATTTGGTCCAGTTCCTCTGAGTAAGGACAGTAGGACTGATCCAGGCAAGAGATGGACAACTGATTGGTGCTCAGGGAACATGTGATGGCGCTCACCTGTGAGTGACTGTCAAAGGGACAGTGTGTTAGACAGACAGACAGACATATATATATATATATACACACACTCACACACAGACATATATATACACACACATATACACACGCAGACATATGTGTATATGTATATAGCTATTGTATATACATAAAATTCTCAATAATTAACAGTATCTATCTATCTATCTATCTATCTATCTATCCATCTTTAATCCTTGATTCTTGCTGTGTAAAGAATGAGGTTTTCAAAACCTACCGCTCTGCTTTAACAAACACAACTTCTCCTGTTCTCCTTGGTCTCCAGTTCCAAGCACACTGGAATGATCCATTGTAGTTTTGCGTTGAACATTTGATGTAACCTACAGGAAAAGACACAGTCACTCAAGCTGCCACAGTGCTACACAACAACTTGCCTGTGTATTGTACCTGTCATTATAGTACCTGTCATTATGGTACCTGCCATTATGATACCTGCCATTATGGTACCTGCCATTATGGTACCTGCCATTATGGTACCTGCCATTATGATACCTGCCATTATGATACCTGCCATTATGGTACCTGTCATTATGGTACCTGCCATTATGGTACCTGTCATTATGGTACCTGCCATTATGGTACCTGCCATTATGATACCTGTCATTATGGTACCTGCCATTATGGTACCTGTTATTATGGCTGTATTTCATGAAGATATTCAGTTCCCAGGCTGCAGTTAAACACTCAGCCATACTGCCTGGAGTAAAATGCCAATTTGGCTCTGATCCACAGTACCTGTATATTGGGAGCCCGTTAGGATTTTCCGGCTGCTTTTCCTAATCAGCACCAGGGTGTAGTTGAGGAAGGATCCCATGCTATCATGGCATGTGTAATTCCCTCCTAACATCTCTTCCACGGTGATGTTGATCTCATTGCCCCGCTGTAGCAGCGGCACATCATCATTCCTCCAAATGATCTCCTCATGCTCATGGGATTCTTGGCACTGCAGGGGAACCTGCACCATCGGGCTGGGGTCGGCCAGATTGACCTCCACGACGACAACTGAGACCCATGGCGAGAGAACCCTCAGTCAGACAGGGCAGTAAGGAGCAGAAGACAGCGATATGTTCCCTCCCCTGAAAGTCCAGGGTTCTAATTCCCAGAAATTTCATACACGATAAGTCAATGTGTAAAGAATATTGTTTTATTGTAATTACCTTTTAAAATACCATTATCAAGAATATGAGCACCCAGTGTCTGAAGAGAATTATGATACAGTTCATTGAGGCAGGAATGAGAGAGGATGAAGTGTCAACATAAAAAAAAGGCATCGGACAAAGAGCGCATGCCAGCAGAATAGGCACGCGGCAGAGAGTGAAGCCCACGGGCTCAAACTGGGTAAACCGGCGAAAACAGAAAGAAGAGACAAGCGTACCATTCGGCTGAAGGACTTCGTAATTATTACCACGAGCCTCCAGGCAACTCGTAGATCGCATGATTATAAGTAAGGCACCCAGTAGCACAAACTGCATCTAATGAAAAGAAACAGTGAGACATTTTTGTTAGGCTACAATACTGCCCTTAACTTGACTTGGAATCGTGAAGGTATCTTATCTGACGAACTCCGCACACATAATATTTGGATTTGTCATATACTCTCCTCAATAGCATACACTGATAATAATCAAGTTTCTCGACTAACACTGAGCTCTATATTTATTATTAGTTTTAGAGATTATAATTAACATGAATAAACTGTGAAACCAAATATTAGGATGTTGGAAACATTTCCAAAAGGGTCAGATCAGCTCTTCCCTCTCTCGTATATTCTAACTGTTATTTTCATGTCAAAATACAGGTGTAGACGAAAATAATGGCTGGATGAACAAACTTCATAATCATCCTTCATAATCTTCATTGCAAATAATAACTTAAATCTCCGCATTCGCACCGCTTTCTAGGTTTATGCAATTGATATTACTATATAGGTTATTAAATCATGCTTCCTTAAATCCTTACCACTCCTTAGTACAGAATGGCAAAAATCAGAATTTACCTTTCAGTTGTAAACATACCTTCATAATGAGTATCGGGTCGATTGCAAGCACCTTTCTCTCTCCGTTTTTTTGTGACTGCACGGTGTTTTATATACTGTTTATATATACTGCAAAAGGGGACCTAAAAAAATCCCGGGCAAAAAGTACAGCGGTTTAGGAAAGCGAAAAAAAGGTTGGAGGAGGATGCGTTCATCATTAGCCTAATGAACAGTTGGTTTTTTCGAATAGTAAAGTTCACTACTCCGTGTTCATTGTTTTAGTTTGCGTCCTCACCGCCCATACCCAAATCTATGCCCTACTCCACACACACGGAGCTCCCAAACCTGGCGGTGAGGGACCAGGTGTAGTCCTGCTTTCTAATATCAATGTAAACGAATGTAAAATTGGAAAATAGGAAAAATTAACGGTCATAATTCCTAAAGTCATTGCTTAACTCCACTTTACTCCCACAGTCGTTGGAGTCTCCGGCCCTATTGATAGCCAATATATTTCCGGGTGTGGGGTTTGTTGCCGATTTGGCTCCTCCTAAAGCAAATTGCTAGGCAGTTCACACTCGTAATTCTACTCCCTGGCTGCGTGCAGATATGTGTGTCCCCCGTAAGCAGCGGTGGGCAGCTCACTGATGGGGCAGCACCCCCCCCCCTCTGGCAAGCTTCCATTACATTAGTAGGCTACATTTAGGGAATTTTATTTAGATTTAGGGAATTATCCAAGCTCCAATTTCTATATCACTGGCTTTTTATCACTTTCACTAGTGATGTAAAACAGGAATTTCCTCTTTTCCTGATTTTACAGTAGGAAGTTATTAAAAGCCACAAACTATCGAAATATATGTGAAGACGTGGTACGTACAAGGAAAACGAAGCGCTTAAGCAATACCGCACAGAGCAGGGGTCCCGGGGGCCAAGACCCACTGCCGATAACACTGCGCGCGTGAGGGTCCCGGGGGCCAAGACCCACTGCCGATAACACTGCGCGCGTGAGGGTCCCGGCGATGTCAAGCTCCGGATTGAATTGTGTTTATTTTCATTTGTAAACGTGAGGCAAATTACTGCAAGCATGTTGATTTACAGCTTCGAAACGTTTAAGTCTGTTCGACATACCTCGTGACAGCGGTGAACAGAAAACGAGGAGGAAATTACTTCCAGAAAAACACAAAGATCATCACATTTAACCTTTATGGCGTCACTTAAAATATCCACTGCAAAAGGGAAGTTGGGAGAAGAGGGACTTTGAAAAAAGGGGATATGAATAACAACGATCATTTGTGTGGCAATGCAGTCAGGTGAGAATATGATCAATTTACGGAGAGATATGTTATGCAGTAGGGGAATTATAAACAGGAGAAGCGCACAGTCATTTTTCCGTTGTTTCGATGTTTTTGGATTTTTTGCGTATATGAATATGTGAGCCTATATAGGGGGCAAATGTGCTTAAAAGTTCTTTCAAGCATGCATCGCACTTTTTTAGTAAGCACATATTAATTTTTTTTCTGGCAAACTCGTTTCTTTTCACACCCTGGGAATTTTATAAATGTTACTTTTGGCGATTTAAGTTGCGACCAAGTTTCCATTTCAATGCAGTTGTATTTTAGTGTTGCCAATGGAACTCTGTAAAGATTGTTTTGAAGTCTTGAAGTTGAATATAAACTGTTTCTGATGAAAAAACGCATAACCTCCTTTAACGCAGATCATTCTTACTTTCACTGAGCAAATACATATTAAGTCGTATTATAGTCCTATATATGTACTTTATACATTTTAGTAGTTGCGGCTCCTAGTGTAACATTGTTAGCCAGGTCAAAATCCTTGAATTAATAGATCAATTGAAATAAGCCCCAGTGATATCTTGATTTGGTATTTGTCTATAAATAATCTTAGGAACATGCGCGTGTAGCTTCTATTCAACTCATGTACTAGGGGAGTAATTTTCTATCGATAAAGGGGGTACTCAGAGTATTTATCTACAAGAGAATAATAGAGAAACAATTTTATCATCAAGCCAGTTGAATTTATTTATATAATAATATATGTCAATATTATTCCAATTTAAACATTACAATATTAAATATTAATACGAGTTATTTGTTTAATTTGAGACCATAAACGCATGAACCATTTCACACGTGGACCAGTAACTGCATTGTGTTATGTGACGAAAAGGCAATTCCCAGGCTGGGCTATGGCCGAACAGGCACTACAAAAAGTCACCTGCTTATTGTACTGAAAATGGCAAACGGAACAACGCCGGAGAGAGATGGGAACACGAAGGTTATTGTTATTTTTCTGCATTATTTAAATTCCTTCCTTATAACGCATAACAGCAAGAATGCGGAAAGACCTGAATTATGTACACACAGAATAAGGAAATGCCTTAATTACACACGCGCGAGTGAGCGCGATCGCACACATGTTTGTATTGATATCTTTGTGGGGACCATCCTCTAATTTCTAAGGGAAAAACCCAAATCCCAACAATGACAGCCCTTATCTCCACTCAGGCCTAACCTTAACCATAAGTTAACAAGAACTGATACATGACTTTTGACATTTTTGATTGCAGTTACAGATTTTTATACAATTGAAAGTGCAGCTACACTGTCCCATTGTTTGTGGATTAGCGTGTATTTTGTTTATCAATGAAGTTCCCCTTGGTGTGTGAAAGCCCGCATCCCATTGTCACTGCAGTGCCCAACAAACATCCCAAACTCTTTTTCTACATGGAAAGTCAATATAATCTCTCACCTGTCACTAAAGCTTCAGATGATGTCACCATCATCGCCCATCAGCGCCATTCATCCAGGAGGGCCATCGTCTAGCAGCGCCATCGTCCAAGAGGGCCATCGCCCATCAGCGCCATCCATCCAGGAGGGCCATCACCAATCAGCGCCATCTTCCATCAGCGCCATCGCCCATCAGCGCCATTCATCCAGGAGGGCCATCGTCTAGCAGCGCCATCGTCCAAGAGGGCCATCGCCCATCAGCGCCATCGCCTAGCAACAGCATCGCCCATCAGCGCCATCGTCTAGCAGCGCCATTCGTCCAAGAGGGCCATCGCCCATCAGTGCCATCGTCCATCAGCCCCATCGCCCATCAGCGCCATCGTCCATCAGCCCCATCGCCCATCAGCCCCATCGCCCATCAGCGCCATCGTCTAGCAGAGCCATCGTCCAAGAGGGCCATCGCCCATCAGCGCCATCGCCCATCAGCACCATCGTCTAGCAGCGCCATCGTCCAAGAGGGCCATCGCCCATCAGNGCCCATCAGCACCATCGTCTAGCAGCGCCATCGTCCAAGAGGGCCATCGCCCATCAGCGCCATCGTCCATCAGCGCCATTGTCCAAGAGGGCCATCGCCCATCAGCGCCATCGTCCATCAGCGCCATTGTCCAAGAGGGCCATCGCCCATCAGCGCCATCCATCCAGGAGGGCCATCGCCCATCAGCGCCATCATCCAGGATGGCCAGCGCCCATCAGCGCCATCGCCCATCAGCGCCATCATCCATCAGCACCATTGTCCAACAGTGCCATCGTCCATGAGGGCCATCACTGAGCAGCACCATCATCCAGCAGCACCATTGTCCAGGAGGGCCATCGTCCAGCAGGACCATGATCCCGGAGGGCCATCGTCCAGCAGGACCATGATCCCAGAGGGCTTCCCCATGGGTTACAGGAGCCAGGATGATGGGAGGACAGCTGGTGGTGCTGGTGTTGATCTTGCAAACAGAGATACTCATCAAAAACCTTCCATGGCATGAGCTGAGGATTCAGTAGTGGGTGGGAACAATGTGGGTCATCCAATTAGTACAAAGACTTGATCTCAAAAACTGGACTTGTGTTTTACCCAGTGAGTCAATATTTATATCTGTGCTTAAGTAAAAGTAAATGTGGTCTAGGAGGTTAGCAAGATATAAGAATATAAAGTTAATTAGATGCAAATTCTCCACTCTTCAGTAGCCACCAGCTGTATCCTGCTGTTTCAAAATAAACAAAAACTAAATTTCCATCACTGCTCATCACCCGCTACAGGACATCTTTCACAAGTGCTGCATCAGGAAGGCCTCCTGCATCGTGCTTGACCCCTCACACGGACTCTTTTCTCCCCCCAGTCCGGCAGACGCTATCGCCGCATCGGGGCCCGATCCACCAGACTGCGAAACAGCTTTTTCCCACAAGCCATCACGCTCTTGAACTCACTACCTGCTCTCCCACTACCCCCCACCACAGACCGTTAACTGACTCTACTGCACCACTGCACTTTACACTGTACACCTAGGGTGACCACCTAATCCATGTCAGGAGGGACATTATGAGCTACTTCAGCTTTTACGAACTACTTTTAAGCTGAAAGGATTCTGTGCTCTGCTAAAATGTTTGGTTAGTTCCTAGATTGAAAGACTCATCCAGCTGTTTGGCATTAACATTACTGACACATATGCATGATTATAGGAGACTGACCAATCAGCATACGGCAAGAACCCAGTGCTTAAGTGAAATCCTGGTCCTATTAATTGAAATGTATGAAATGGTAGTTTACAAATCCTGTTGTAGCTCATAGTGTCCCTCCTGACATGGATTAGCTGGTCACCCTGTGTACACCTCACTGTCTTTGTGAGGCAGATGCCGCTCAATGAACAATCCTACTCATGCTGCACTGAAACTGAACTCTCTTTGTCTTTTATACCTGTATTCTATTTATATATTACTTATTTTTTGTGACCTATTTGTTCTTTGCACTGTTTTTAAACTGGAGCCACGTCATCTTGTCTCTCTGTACACTGTAACGTATATAGCAGAGATGACAATAAAGTTTACTTTGACTTTGATATCAGTCAAATGACCACATTAATAAATGCAATAATGTCCTTCTTTTGCTCTTTAGGGAGTACTGAAATGCTTCAACATGAAATTTGAAGTTGTACTAAAATGGACTTATAATTTTCAGATTTCTCATCCATGGGGAAGAGATATTGAGGACAGCAACGGAAAGCCCCGGACATCCAGAATGTATCAGAGGCCTGCTTGGCACGAACCAGTCCGACGGACAGAGGCCGCTTCATTGGAAAAGGTCAGGTCCAGTTCATGACACACAAATACCAGCAGACTCTGGAGTCACAGGGTTAGAGCGCGAGTCCGTTTCCCCTTTTGACCCGAAAGAGGGGCAGGGGTCACATGACACATCCCTGGTCCCAGCTGGAGTGCTTTGGCGCTGATAGGCCGCAGACTGCCAGTGGGGCAGGGGTCACATGACACATCCCTGGTCCCAGCTGGAGTGCTTTGGCGCTGATAGGCCGCAGACTGCCAGTGGGGCAGGGGTCACATGACACATCCCTGGTCCCAGCTGGAGTGCTTTGGCGCTGATAGGCCGCAGACTGCCAGTGGGGCAGGGGTCACATGACACATCCAATTTGTACCCATTTGTCTGTGATGACGAGACAGATGGCACCGTGCCACATTCAGGCACCAGTGTTCTGCTTATCGTAGTCAGGGCTGCTTGGCCCTTCCAGGCAGCACGGGGCACAAGGCAGGGGTGCCCCCTGGATGGGGTCCCAGGACACACATGCATCAGCCTAAAAGAAAACCATATGATACACAGAGACAAGGGCACAAATTACGGGGATTAGGGGGGGTTGTAAACCCCAATAAATCAAAACCATGTAATACAACTCCCCCAATAATCTGAGGATACCTCAACCTCCCCAACGTTCAAACAAAAGTTACGTGCTTGTGCAGACGTGAAGCGACGTGGCCCCCGGCAGGCCTCCATGTGGCTCACACACTGATGCTCAGCTGTGGAGAAAGAGCAGAGCCTTCACTGCCACACATGGAATTGGCCAGAACCGTCAGCAGGAGGTGCGGGGAGCTGCAGAATGAAGAGCAGAACCTTCACTGCCACACGTGTAACTGGAGCCGTCAGCAGGAGTTGTGGGGAGCTTCTCCTGAGCTCCCACACCCCAAAAGCCCACACAGTCACACAGAGACTGTGACGGGGATGAGCCAGACTGACTGTCCACTGCAGCCATTCTTCCCTGCTCATGGCACGTGTGTCTTCACTCCTCATATCAGGCTGACCACCACCAAGTAAAGCAAACAACAGGCAACATACTACGTATGTACTATGCACTACGGCTCAATTGCCCATCTGAAACAAGGGGCAAGAAACACAAGCTTTAACTGTAGCTAATTATCTGAGCAAGTGCATTAACACTTAAGGTGTGACCTGTGAATAAGCTCACCGACATACACGTGAGACGTAACCAACTCCATTTCTCTCTGGCAGGTTTCAGTCGTAGCACAGAGGACTTTAAACCCAATTCTCCCACTAGTGGCCGTGGCCTGTATCTGCGCTTGTTCTGTCCAGCACACCAGCTGCTCTCTATCACCTTTCCTCACTATACAGTCCTGTGCAGCACGGTCGCTCTCCCTTGCTGGCCGCTTCATCCTCCCAGACCTTCTTCCCGTGAAGCCAACAGAATTTCCTTATTTTTCATTCCTCTTGGATTCACTTGTAGCTGGTTCAGTCCTGTGGGGGACGCCATGATTCAGCAGGAAGTTCCTCTGGATTATTCAGCTGGAATGTGGGCTGACAGAATACAGCCAGATACAGGGAGACTGATCCGAAACTCGACATTCTCTGCACCTGTCTGTACTTGCTTCAGCCAGAGTCTGTAAGTTAAAATATGCCAGAAAACAAGACCTGCTATCGGGCAAAACTGAAAAAGGAGTATTTTGTGACTGGATTTAAGCTGCAAATAAAAGTGGTCTCATTTGATATGGCTTTGGTCCACGATCTTAAGAATAGCACCACAAAACATTTTCCTTTCCTAAGAAGCATTTGTTTTATTCTTCAGAACTTCATATTTGTTTATTTTTGTGTATAAAAAGAAAACAAAGCAAACAAACAATCAAAAATAAAGAGCCAGAAAGTCCAAGGGGGCGAATTCCTTCCGGATCTTTCAACAGTTGCTATGCCATCCCTGCCCCCCTGCCCCCACCCTGCTGAAGGTCTCCCCTCTGCTGTTCAGTTTCACGCAGCCAGCAGAAGTATAAGACATTGGAGAAAAGAGTACAAAACCAAAGCAAATTCCAAAATGGCTATACAAATAGTAATAATAGTAATAATAATAATAATAATTACAATAATAATAAAGGACAGCATTAGCCGGGAGCGTCGCCCGTCCCGCCTCCCTGTGCCCAGCACGTATCTAGCTCTCCCCAGGTGGGGGTGTCTGTGGGGGGGGCTGGCTGACGATCACCTGCACCACATAGTCTCTGGGGATCTTCAGTTCCTCCAGTTTCATTTTGTCTGTCAGCGGGCGCCCCGAAAAGAACCAGCGCTGGCTGCCGGGTGCAATGCCCTCCTCCACCTGCAGGCGGTTTTTCATGTGCTGCACCGTGTCTGTGCTGCGCACCAGCAGCCACAGATCTTTGCCTGTGGAGAGGCGCAGGCGCAGGCGGCTCCTCTGGCCGGAGCTGGGAGGCGGCTCCTGCACGTCCGCCATCTCCAGCTCGCTCTTCTCCTCCATCATGTTGATGGGAGGAACCAGGCAGTACACAGGCAGCTGGTAACGGCTCCCCAGCTCGTCGTAGCTCTCGTTCAGAGCACCTGGGGGGGCAGGGGGGGCAGGGGGGTCAGAGGTTAGAGCCCAGCACGGCATCATGGGGGAAAAAAACTAGAGTGAGGAAATCGCTGATTTGGCAACAAGTTTGTGTTGAATTATAAAAGGTAATGAGAAAGAAATCCAGAAGTAGGAGGCACATCTGAAAAGCATTAGAGAAAGTCAGAGACGGCCAATCAGCAATGAAAGAGAGAGGAATAGGAGGTGTGAGGACCAAGAATCAAACCTGAGGGGGCTGAAGAAGGAAGGCGAGGGAGCTTGGGGAGGACAGAGAGGTGAGATGCAGAAGTGAGAGCACACCGCTTTCTCTCGGGTAATTTTACACTCTCTGTCAAACTAGAAAACATACATTAAAAGTACATCTTCCCTTTTACCAATGAGGTTGCGGTTTCACTTAATGATACACTCTGACCTTTAGACCTAAGGCCAAAACTTTCTACCTTTATCGAAACAGGCAGATAGAAACCTAGCAGTCAGCACTATAGGGACTGTAATACCTTGTGTCTACACGGTCCCCTCACCAGTGGCTGCGCAGTGTGCATGTTCTCCTTGTGTTTGCGTAGCATTCCTAATGCAGTCCATGCACACGCTATTCAGGTGCACCAGGGTGCAACTGTCCAGCTGCCCCCTGTCCTGTGCCCTGTGATGGACTGGCATCCCATGCAGGCTGCCCCCTGTCCTGTGCCCTGTGATGGACTGGCATCCCATGCAAGGTGCCCCCTGTCCTGTGCCCTGTGATGGACTGGCATACCCTGCAGGCTGCCCCCTGCCTTGCGTCCTGTGCTCAAGGTTCACCGTGACCAAGCACTAGAAGTATGTTTGTAAGATGGAAGGATGGGTGGATGAAAAACCCGAATGGTGAGGACTGGCTGAGCAAGGGGCAGAGCAAAGCTACCTGCCTTAATTTTGGCAGCACAGGTGGAGGATGACGTTTCCAACTGACAGGTACCTGTGGATCCTCCAAAAAGCCCAGGATGTCTATTTTTACTTAGTTCAGATATTATAATTATTTGATTTTGGGCCTGATTTGGGACCCTATGGAGCTCTGTCCCTTTTGGACATCAGCAGAAATGGGTGCCCTGTATGCAAAGCACAATTTAGCAGGCTGGACACACAACACAATCAGAGACGCTTGAGTCATTTAACTTTTTCCTCTGAATTTCTGAAGCGCCTGTAGAGCAGTCCCTGCATTTCCCATCCTTCCAAATTTCACACTGAAAAGAGACTCTACCCTGGGAGAGAAACAGTGATTTCATATATGTGACATCACGAGAGCACGTCCCGCGGCCCCTCTCAGGCCAAATATTAACGTAGAGATTCCAAACAGCCAGTCTCGGTAAAACCACGCTCACAGTGGCATTGGAGGTTCCCTCTTTGTGGTCGCTGACGTTATGGTAGTAGGTCGCCCAGGCTGATGGACCCCGGAACCAGCTGGAGGAAACAGCTAAAAGCGGCCAAACTGATTCTCAGCCTCCAAGGCTCGGAGACACAGATGCCAGCGAAAGCTCAGCCCGGTGGCTGCAGGGTGGGGGCAGACTGAAAGGCCACAGAAGAGGGAAGTGAAAACCGCAGCACAACAGAAAAGTATCGCATCAGAAGGGCTGACACTCATGAGAGGCAACTGTCATCTGCCCTCCTTCCTGAAATTACATTACAAAGTGAAAATGAAGGCAAAATCAGTCATGTGTTGTTAATCAAACATGCTTCCAAAACAATTTTTCTGGGGCAGTCTCTGTCTCCACCTCAGTGTAGGGGAGG